TCCAGAGCTTTATCCCCCTCTATCTTTGAATAACTCTGTCGGATTAACTACGATAAAACTACAAAGAACTTGAAACATTTCTTCCCTTCCTTGTCTTCCTTAAGACTGATTATTTAATCCATAATGTGAAGCAAGTGAATCCTAAGGATTTTTATGTCAACATGACACATTTAGGAGAGCCCAGTAAGTATAGCTTGCTTTTTAGAGATTGGACACACAGTTCCAAGTCAAAATTATTCCCCCTCATGTGAATTTTTTTTTCTTTTGCAAATATTTCCCAAATTATGTTTAACAGAGCAAGAATTTTTATAGCGTTTGTTATAGCACCTTTTCTTCTTCTGGAGAAAGTCTAATTTATTTTATTTTAGCTAGAATGAAAACATTTTAAGGTTAATATTTTTATCTCTCTTTAACAATATGTTTTTCAATAGTCTACAGAACAAACTACCGTTTTACAATGTCTTGCCTAATTACCCTAACTTGTCTAGTTAACCTAATTATCCTAGTTAAGCCTTTAAATTGCACTTTAAGCTGAATGCTAGTATCTTGAAAATATCTAGCCAAATATTATGCATGGTCATCATGGCAAAGATAAAAGAAATCAGTTTTTAGAAATGAGTTGACAATTTTGGAGTGAAAATGTGTTTTGAACCAGGAGTGCAATACCTAGTTTAACCACTGGGTGTCAAACTTACATACTGCACCTTTAAAGGGTCACGAAACACCAAAACACATTTTTTGAGCTGTTGACAGTCGTATACGTGTTCCACACTGCTAAAAACACTATTAGGACACCTATATTTCACTAAAAAGTGTAAATTGGTTGTTTTTGCGTTATTTCAAGCAAATTCGTACTTCCTGTTTGAAACAAATTTTTGAAGCTGCGTCACGGTCATGAGATAATCGCGTGTATTCCAGCGTGCAGACTGGGCGTCTGTGCCAGAGTGAGTCTTATTACGTCTTACAGTGTGATGCATTAATGCATGAGTAAGGCTTGGTTCAAACCAATCAGCGCGCTCTATTGTGCAACTTCATTAATATTCATTAGTGTCACTGTTTACACCACAAAGACGCCACGTTGTGTTGGCAAAACAAGCGTGAAGTGTTGCTTTTATAGTTTGCTGCAGTTAAGTTTCGTTTTCCTTTTCTCTGTGTGAGAGCGCAGACTCACGTGTGGATTAACAGTGTACGCGACACTCGACAACAATAACTTACGTGTCTAAGGAGGAACATTGTTTACCTGAGAGCTGTTCTCATCTGCAAACGCTGAAATCCGGATTCGCTTGTAACATTAGTCTTCTCTTCATAAAGACGCGGCTCTAGTTGCTGGTGATTGTTCTGTCTCTACAGATTTGGTAAGTGAGCGACCAGTGCTCTTTGTTTATTCAGTTTGTTCGTATCGAATTAAGTTAACTATTGCACTGAGTGCAAACTTGTTAGCACCGCATTTTGTGACCGGAATAACACACGCGGCTATCTGACGCTACCTGCCGTGTGCATCTAAGTTTCCGGGACATGCAGAGTTTTTTTTTTTCTCTCATTCGCCATGCGGTATCAAACATTGCATGAAAAATACACGCTTAGAGCAGATCCTCGAATCAAATATCGCGTTTGTCGCGAGGGGCATGAATGAATTCCCTGAATGAAAGAGCCAAACTGCAGTTAAAGTCCAACATTTAATAATTTGGCAAATAATTCGACTACAGATGTCCATGTAGGTTAAACACCATCACTTTCTCATGTGTGTGTATTTTGACTGAAACTCGCGCGTGCCCAAATAGACACTCCCACACCATCCCACTTTAGTTCCTCCGACACTCCCCCCTAAACAGACACTCCCCACTTTTCTGACTTTTTCCAAAGTAGAGGTGTGAAAACACCCTGCTAAAACGAGGGGGTTTCATGGCCCTTTAAAGCAGCATAATGCTCAGTGTCTAAATAAAGGACATACTGTAAACACATAAAAATCATCTCTAGTGCTTCCCTGAGAGATATTTCACCAGCTTTTTCACCTTTTCACTTGAGAAAAGCAACTGTTAATTACACTCCATACCTGACTATAAGAGCCATAATTTAATTTATATAATTTATTAATAGTGCTCAAATTTATGTACAGTTTACACATGTTGATAGTTTACCACTCAAATACACTCTATACCTGACAGATAAATAAACAATGACAGAAATACATCATACTTAATTTAAGTACACATTATTTCATTATTAATAGAAATAACTATTAATAACTAATAGAAAAATATACAGAGGGGCTAATAATTCTGAATTCAATTGTATATTGTTTTAGCTGAAAAACACAACCTATTTTTTCCATCTTATTGTGGCAAGCTTTCACAAAATGACTGTATAAAATTCTACGTTATGTAGAACTTTATGTAAAAATAACGTTAGGTTTTCCTATGTTTACTCGGTTGTGGGTCCTCAATTATTATGATTCCATCAGTAAGAAGAGTACAGTATAGGACGCAGCTGCAGAATTCCAGAGCATCAGATTTCATCATTTATCATCCTGCTACAAACACACAGCCTAATTGGCAAACCAATATGTGTGTAATATAACAGTAGAGCACAATGTTTACTCTGAGTCTGACTAAAGTATTTATGTTTATCACACAACACTAATTGTATGCTCACATTAACTAATTGCAATTATTATGGAGTTAGGCAATAATATCACAGACCACAATAACATTCACGTTGATTATGATGACACGGAGACAGCGGGAATAAATGCGACAGTTAGTGAATGCAGTTAATAAGCCTGCATTTTCTGCATGTCTGTGTGAGTGAATGCTTTGGTTTTGGTCTACTACACATATTAAAGGTGCAGTATGTAAGTTTTTGACTCTTCTAAAGCATAAAAATACCATAACATGTTGGCAATATTAGTCTTGTGAAATGGCATTCAAACACTCATTATTAGCATTTAACACTGCATAAAGCACATAAGGTGTACCTGAAGTGATCATTGTCAGTTTTCTGTTGTTCAGCTGCAAGAAATTAAATGGAATTTTGGAAAATGGAATATAAAAATTCCGGGTATTGGTTGTTATATGGAAAATATTTCTTCTAACGTGTGTCGATGCTTTAAGTGCTGATTTAAAACTAAATTTCTAATTTAAGATCGATAGTCATACAAGCACCTGTTGGTGTCAATCTGGCAAACTGTGCTTGCGTGTGCAATACCTAGTTCAACCACTGGGTGTCAAAAACTTACATACTGCACGTTTAAAGCAGCATAATGCTCAGTGTCTCTATAAGGACATACTGTAAACACATGAAATTCATCTCTAGTGCTGCCCTGAGGAATATTTCACCAACTTTTCACCTTGTAACTTGAGAGAAACAACTAAAATACACTCTATACCTGACAGATAAAAGAAAACTATGAAAGAAATACATTAATATTGTATACTTATTTATGTACACATTATTTTATTGTTAAATTAATGCTAATATATATATATATATATATATAAACATATATATATATAGAAATACATTGTTTAAAATCACTTACATTTTTAATTGATAAAGAAAGATTGCACTACTAAAATGCTTGGACTTTTGAAATTAATGATTAAAAATCTATATATTAAATCTACATATATATATATATATATATATATACACACACAGGCACAACAGGTCTGTCTGTTCTTGAATTTGATTGCCTGATAGCTGTGCGATATTCTGTCGTATTACTCCACCCACATACAGTAGCAAGCAGAGGACACTCTACAGTTTGACAAATATATAAAAAATACATTTAAGCGCTAAAGTTTAACGATTAAAAAGTATAGCAGTTTTCCTTAGAAATTTGAACAGAAAGCTGGCAGTGATTGTGCTGCTTTTTCTGGGTTAATTATTGCGATATGCCGATTTCAACAGATTCTGTAGACTGTAATGCTGTGAGGAGATATCTCTGTAGACGCATGGCATTTCTTGTCATGTTCAGCCTTATAATCTCATTAATGTCAGCAAAATCAGCTGTTTTGTCATCACTTCAGACATTACGCTAGAGAAGCGTTCAAACACTAGCTCTACTGTGACTTTGGTTGAATTAGTAATGGCTTCTGCTGTTCTTACGTCAGCTGCAGATGTGAAAGGCGGAAGAAAGCAGTTCCAAATACAAAGAGGTTTTTAGACTCTCTGTGTTTGATTTTCTTTTATATACTCGATTGTGCCATCAAACTGTTGTATAAATGTAATATCACATGAGTAGCAGTAGCAATATGGCTGTATATCAGCACTAGTGGGACACTAAGGCACAACGGACAGATACAATGCAAGCCTCCCACCAGGGATATATATATAATGTAGCCTGGTGGGAGGCTTGCATTGTATCTGTGCGTTGTATAACTCATCAATTTCTTTCTCACATCTTCTATTAATGGAACATTGTTTTTATTAAAAAGTAAAAGCTTTAGTTTTAGTTTATTTCACCCCAGATTCATTATGTCGTCTTATATGACTTTCTGTTCATATGACAGATTTGAGTGTGTATTAATTATGTTGCAATACACTGAAATCACATATCCAATTTGCTCTTCAGCATATCAGCAAATTAGATATACAGCAAATTAGGCAGAATCAGAATGCTCTATTGAATGTAAAGGATGAAGATGCTGTTAACTTATGCACTACATATATTGTTTTAATATATTGAAGTCATATAACATCATTTATTTGTGGAAAACACTAAAATCTGCACTGTAATTTGCAGTTTCAGCATAGTCAGTCTTCTGTGCTCGGGGATCCACAGAGAACCTAACTAGGAGTGTTTGAGTTCAAATATAAAGAACATGAAATGGATCTGCAATGTCTAACCAAGTCATTTTAACTTGAATATTCTTATATTCAAAACTGATATGATTCTATTTTTGTGTGAACTATCCCTTTAAATTCAGGATTGTTTGGGAGTAAGGGTGGAGTTGGGTTTCAAGTCAAAGTCAAGATAAGGTCACAGAAAAATAGCTTACAGTGATGTTGGGGGATGCTGAGACTGCAAAACTTCCCTCCTCTGAAGCATGTGCTGTAACACAGGTAAAGACAACTGCATTCACCCCCTGTAAAACACACATTCACTTACTGTTAATTAAGATAGAAGAGCTCCATCTCCCTCACATTACAGAAAACCTCAAACTGTCACTATTTCTCCAGCAATTAGGTCATCAGAAGTGTGATGGATTGGGGGTTTCCTTTGATGCTATCCTTTGACCCATAAATACTGCAATGAGGGTGAGTGCTGATAGAGCTGCTGATGGTGGAAAGGGCCAACTGGAAAACAAGGGGTGAGGATTGATGACTTTTCTCTGAACCATGGCACTTTTATTGTCCAGGGACACCTGATAAGGGCCGGAGGTTTCCCTCAGCCATAATCAAGCTGTGCCACAGATACCACAGGAACATCATCGTCCCATCTGAGCTGGACGTGAGAATCTGACATGGTCAAATCATCTGCGCCCAACTATTCATCAAGGCTGTCTTTAAACGTCAGAGATGAGGGAAAGTGAACAACTGGCTTAAAGGGAACCTATTGCGCACATTCACATAAGACGTGAAAGTAAATCTCTGATGTCCCCAGAATGCTTTAGTAATCAACATATAATAAATTTTAATATAATAAATTTTAATATAATATAATATAATATAATATAATATAATATAATTGTCATTCTTCAGCTGTCATGTTCAATGGAGTAGCAGTACCAAAATGCAGCTTTAAATGCAAGGATGGTGTAAAAGGCAGGGGTTAAAAAGGTACAAACAACAAAGTCAGGGGTAATTCACAAAGAGTAATCTGAAATCCAGGCAAAGGTTGTGGCAGGCAGCAAACAAATAATGACAACATACAATAGTCACAGATTATTTTAAATTAATATAAAAAAGGCAAGAGACATGAAAACTGCCCAGAAATGCACATGAACTGTAGACTGAGGTGCTTAACCCTTGTGCACTCAAATTTACCACCCTTTTGTTATGTTAGCGATGAAAACATCCACTAAATTACACTGCTGTAAAAATGCATCAAATAAATATTTTATTTTGAATTATTTTTGCATAAATCTGTTAATCTACCTCAGTCCTGATCAAAACTACTAAATTGTTTTGAAAATTACAGAATTTTAACTTTTCAATTGGCAAGTTCACAAAGGATGTCACTGATTTGGTGAAAACTGGCACAAAATTATGTATTTTCAATATAAAAAATAAAGCTGCGGTCACATCGGACTTTTCTCTTCCCAGACTTTTACTCATACATACACGATTGCATCAGACTGGAAACTCAAGCTCTTGCGACAAGTTTCACAGTTCACTGCGGTGCAAAGTTTAAGCTTGGTAAACTCTGACCTGCAAAATTGCACCATGTGACTGCGTAAGATTAATCGAAGATCAAAGCCCCTTTTCGCAGCATCGTACAACAGAATTCCGCATGTTCAAACTCTAGTGTGACCATGGCATAATTGTGGACTGGATTTTTTATCAGTCTTGGACAAGTGAATGATTAGTAACAACAATGGCTTTGATGTATTGTTAGATTTTCCCTAATTTACTGTTGATGGCTGTTTTTGCCCCATTGACTTCCATTACAACCACATTTGATGGTGCATAAAAACACAGTCTTTGTTTTTGTTTACTCCATGTAGTTCTGAGAGCTGAGATGCATATTTGGATTTTCTCAGACACATCAAGGTAAGTGAGCAAACGTCACTCACACACTCAAAGACACACATACACACACTTTAATTTGCTGTTATACTCAATATAAAACCCAGAAAACTAAGCATTTTTGCACAGGCCTAAAGGGTTAATAGTGCCAACTGATGATCAACAGTAAAAATGACGAATTTTACCTCTTCCCAACAGGGAAAACCAGCAACAATCAAAAATACATGATTATCTTGTGTCAGGGTTTTGTAATAAAAAACGTGGTTAAAATTGAAGTCAATGGGGAAAAACAGCCACCAACAGTAAAGTAGGGAGAAAAAAAATAAAATTTAATAAAAAAACAATGCATCAAAGGCAATGTTGCTCCATATGACCAACACTGTGACAAAAGGTTAAAAAAATCCAGCCCATGATAACTTTTTATATTGAAAATACGTCGCTTTGTGTGTGTTTTTTCCACCAAATCATTTTGGAATTTAGCAATTAAAGAGTTAAAATCATGTAGTTTTCTAGTTTTGCAATTTTGATCAAGACTGAAGGTTAATTAACAGATTTAAGCAAAAATAAATTGAAAAATAAAATAAAGTATTTCTCTGATTAAATTATACTATTTTTACAGCAGTTTAATTTAGTAAATGTTTTCATCCCTAATATAACAAAGGGGTAGTAAATTTGCCCAGACTGTATTGTTGAGTTTTTTTTTTTTATTTACTTAAAAAAAAAAGTAAAACATTATGGCAAAATTAAGACTCAAAATCACCCCAGAGTGGATGAAAACATCCCCACAGCACATAAGGGTTAAATAGCACGTGTAATGTGCTGCAGCTGTGACCGTTTACCCATTTGGGTACTGATTACACTGATTCAGCTGTGAAATGTAAAGCATGATGGTAGGTGTAGTCCGGGCTGGTGGAGTGTTCATCTCGCTTGAGTGCCCTCTAGTGAGTCTGGTTGTTTTTCCAGCTAATGACTTGTAACATCAGCACTCAAACAATCATTGTTGCAATGTTTTTTTTTTAGCTCAGACCCTGTACATCTCTAGTGATATTCTTTTGTTCATTGGTGCAATGGGGTTTCCCATTGCACTAATGGGTTTTCCTTTTTCACTTTTTGAGCTTGATAGATAGACCAGGGACATAATTATAGCACTTAAATGCAACAATTCTGATTTTCATGAAATGGTTCCTTTCAAGCTTTTATGTAAAATCAATTCCTTATTTCGAACAGTTGCTAAAGATCCTGCTAGGATTTGGGACATGCTCATTTTATTTGAGTACAGATATGCAGTCATGCAAGAGGTATGCAAATTCAGATATTGACAAGCAGATCAATATTTGTAAAGTTCAGACCAAATGTTTTAAAATTCCACAGACGATACAAACACATATATACATTTAGACCACTTAACATCATGTTTGCTATTGAGATGGGAAAATACTTTTTCAACTAGCATAGCAAAGTGTTTTTGAATCAAATCTTATGGCTCTTGCGACTTGATCACATTTAGAATTAATACATCAAATTAACACGGTTCAAAAAGTCCAAACCCCCCTTGCCTCCCTTTCGTTTGAAATGTAAGACTGGGCTTGAGATGTATCAGAGAAGAGTACAGACAAATGCCTGATTAAGCTCTGAGTACTGGCTGGGAAACTAAAAACACACCACAAGCCAATTGAACTGTTAATGAGGTCCTAAGAGAAATCTCCTCTAGTGCAAAAATCACAGCTCTCGATTCTTTCATTTAACAAATAATTAACAATGCTGGAATATTTTTTGTTGAAGATCTGTGAGAATCAGCTTGTGTTTATTTTTAATTCGTGACATCATTAAGCGGGCTAAATTTTGCTAAAAATCTTGGAAAAAAAAGTGTGCGCGTGTTTCTGTCTCAGATGGGATGGGATTCAAGTAGGTAAGTCACTATATAGTTTACTGTGATGAAAGTATAAAGCAGGTGAGTATGCAGGTAAAGATGATAATCCAAGAGTATGAAGTAGATGACAGAAACCAGTTTATAGTCTATTGCAGGATGTCAATGGATACAGAAAGAGGTGATGAAAACCTGGACTAGATGAGGAACCAAGAAGACACATTCACTAGAAATAAAGACGAGGAAACACTGGAGATCACAGGAGACAAGGAAGATAAGTATATATCTGAGAATATCAACACTAACCGTGTACTGAGGGGTTTGCCCTTTTTGTCTATAGCGACGAGGCCGGATGTCAAGTGAACAGTGTGAAGGGACTTTATAGTGCAGGTGATAATAACGGTGGTGATCTTCAGGTGCATGACTCATTGGTATTCGGGTGATGCTGATCTTGGTGTCTGATTGGGGAAGAACCTGGTCTGACTGTGACAGTTATCTGAAAAAAAAAAAACATTGACAAAACTTAAAATTGTAAGGCAACTTGCTGCACAGCGCTTTTGAACTAAATTATTTGGATTAAAAGTTAAGTCAACTAAAAAAAAAAGTAGTGCAGAAAGTTGCCTTATGATTTAAAGTTCAGTCAACTAAAATAGTTTGCAGTGTATTAAAAGCTTAACAATTCTGTGGTGATATACAGTTGAAGTCTGTTTTAGCCCCCCTTTAAGTTTTTTTCTTTATTAAATATTTCCCAAATGATGTTTAACAGAGCAAGGTAATTTTCACAGTATGTCTGATAATATTTTTTCTTCTGGAGAAAGTCTTATTAGTTTTATTTTGGCTAGATTAAAAGAAGTTTTTAATTTTTTGAAAAGCATTTTAAGGTCAAAATTATTAGCCCCTTTATATTTTTTCTGTCTACTGAATAAACCATTGCTATACCATAACTTGCCTTGTTACCCTATCCTGTCTAGTTAACGTAATTAAGCCTTTAAATGTCACTTTAAGCTGTATAGAAGTGTCTTGAAAAATATCTAGTGAAATATTATTTACTGTCATTATGACAAAGATAAAATAAATCAGTTATTAGAGATGAGTTATTAAAACTATTATGTTTAGAAATGTGTTGAAAAAATCAGGTGAGCTTATAATTCTGACTTCAACTGTATTTTATGATACAGTATGACTCAACTTTCATTCCCAATATAAAGATTAACCATGGTTTTATCATAGTAAGTGTAGTAACTTTTTTGGAGGCCGAATTAGTTAGTTTCTATAATCTCAGTTGTGCAAATGCAGTGGTAAAATTATGTTGTTTTTTACTATGGTTTAACTACAAGACCCATTTCCGAGTCCTAGGTTGCAGCTGGAAGGGCATCAACATATGCCAGAGTAGTTGGCGGTTCATTCCACTCTGGCGACCCCTGATAAATCAGGCACTAAGCCAATGGAAAATGAATGAATGAGCTACTGAAGGCAGCAAACTCTGATGCCAACACAGAAGAGTTCTTGTGTAAGGAGATAAAAAAAATAAAAATCTGCTCATTTAACTCATTAACTAAATAAAATGAATATGAAGAGATGTTTATCGCTCATGACTATTGGAGAGAAGAAGCCGACTGGACAGGAATTAATGTCGTGTGCATGTTTTGAGCATAGATTATAGCATATAGTGAGGAAAATAAGTATTGAACACGTCACCATTTTTCTCAGAATACATTTTTCTAAAGGTGCTGTTGACTTGAAATTTTCCACAAATGTTGATAACAACCAAAGAAATACAGACTCCATTGTAATTAATCTGACTCCATTAAAGTTGTTTTCATCATTGATAAAGAGAAAGAATCTCAACGCCTTGAAGCAGGCAAAGTTGTTTATTAAGTTACATGTTTAAACATATAGACCAGGGGTGTCAAACTCAATTCCTGGAGGGCCGAAGCCCTGTACAGTTTAGTTCCAACATACTTAACTGTAGGTTTCAAACAAGCCTGAAGGACTCAATTAGTTTGATCAGGTGTGTTTAATTAGGGTGGAACTAAACTGCAGTGCTGCGGCCCTTTTGGAACTGAGTTTGACACCTGTGATATAGACAGTAGAATAAAACAAACTAATATACTGTATAAAGAAACTAGCTGTAACATATGCACTGCTGAGCAACAAAGACAGTGAAACTGCCTTTGTTAGCATATGAGGCTACGCACCGGTGTGCGGGAGATGCAGAAAACCAACCCCCCAAAACCAGCTGAAAATGAAAGCAAATTTGAAGAGATAAAGTGGAGGAGAATATTAACATACTCTCCCCAGACCATGACTCAACAATAGTAAATATATTGTATATAGAAATACAATCAATCAATGTCTCTGTTGATTTCATGACTACAACACTTCAGTCAAAAACTGTCAAATGACAGCAAACCTGACAAAGTTATATAAAGGAAGATCACAAGCAGATTCATTGTATATGGTGAAAGGCATATGGTTATAGATGTGTATTGGAGCTGTGAGGAACGCCAGGAGGACCCATCCCATGCTTGGAATGTCTCATTAGTCCTTCATTAGCATAGAAGGAATAGCATATATGTTGTCAGCTTATTTGTGTAATGAAAAAGTATTGAACACATGAAGAAATGGAGCTGTAAAAAGTTAGTAAAAGCCCTGACAGCAGCTGAAATCTTTCAGTAGTCCTCAGTGGTGTAAAGTAATTAAATACAGAAACTCAAATTACTGTAATTGAGTAGTTTTTCTCAGGAATTGTAATTTACTAAGTAGTTTTATAAATGTGTACTTTCACTTTCTCGAGTACATTTTTAGTGCTGCATCGGTAGTTTTACTCCACTACTTTCCTTCAACCTGCAGTCACTACTTTATTTTTTCTCGTCTAAGGGGATTAGGGAAATCAGTACTGCAAGTCCAATCAAATCACACATAGAGGGTAAATGAACTACCTCAAGACATGGGTGATTTATAATTGCAGCAAACTGTTTGGAGGTATTCAAAGTGTCCAAGAAGATGTCCAACACGCATTGACCCAGAGACTGTTTAGATGCATAATACTGATGGAAAGATGACGGATGTTTACGGTATGATGACCAAAATGGCCTTAAACACCCAGCAGGCACAAGACTTCAACATGATGTCAGACTGACGTTGTACCCCAACATCATGGGGACGTTGCATTTTGCTTGGAAATGAAAATCGGGTTGATGTCAGAACTCAACGTCAGGTCAACGTCAATGTCCAACCTAAAACCAACCAAATATCAATGTCTTATGATGTTACAGCTTGACGTTGTGTGGACGTTACCACTATTGACATTTATCAGACATTGGATTTTGGTTGTCATACCTGATGAATAAAAGTCAGTATTTGACGTCAATATGATGTTGGTTTTAGATGTTGGGTCAACATTGGATTTTGGTCACATTCTAATACAACCTAAAATCAACCAAATATTAACGTCATTTGACATAATTATTGGACATCAAAATAACACTGTCCTTAGACGCTGGCTAGACATTGAACTTTGGTCACCTGACGTCACAACCTAAATCTAACCTAATATTATTAATATTGTGTGCCTGCTGGGCAATAACTATATGCACTACAGAATGTTACGTTTACACACATTCACATATTACCTGTAAACGCATCAGTTTTAACAGTGTAATGCTCACTACTCACTGAAATGGCTAATTTCTACTCATACTCTGAGTAATATTTACAACAGATACTTTTACTCTACTTGCACTACATTTTTAGGCAGGTAATGGTACTTTTACTTGAGTATGATTTATCAGAACTTTTTCCAACACTAGCAGTCCTTCAGTAACCCTCTGCTCTTCGTCAGAGTAAATTATTATTAGCTGCTTCAGTCCAGCATCTACATTATCAGATTATGAAACAAGAGTGGACATTTCAGCAAGACAATGCTCCAAAACACAACCAAGGAAACTCTCAAATGGTTTTAGAGAAAGAAAATCAAGCTGCAGAATGGCCCAGCCAATCACCTGACTTGAATCCAAAAGAAAATACAAATTAAAAATCAGCTTTGATAGACGAGACCCACAGAACCATCAAGATTTTTACACTCAGTTGAAGTCTGTGGAAAACTCACACCTGAGCAGTGCATGTGACTTCATTCTCCAAATGAGAGGCGTCTTTAAGCTGTCATCACCAAAAAAAAGCCTTTTATATAAAGTATTAAACACATTTCAGTAGTTTAGGACTTTCTTCTTTCATTTTTATTACACAAAATTTATTGTTCAGATTTTTTTTTTCATTTTTATGTTTGTATAGTTTGGGTTTTTACTAAAAGCTGTCAACAGCTCCTTTAGAAATATTATTCCCAGGAATAAAAAAACATTTTGTTCAATACTTATTTTCCACGCTGTATGTATGTGGATTATAAAGTAGTTGGTTAGGCTAAAATAAATTATTAAAAAGTAAAGTAAAAAGCTCAGTATACTTTGCGCTAAAGGACGTTGTTAGGTACAGAGCACAGATGGAGTGTCATAGAGAGACAAAGAGGCAGAGACAGGTGCACTCACTGCAGGACGTCACCCAGCTCCACAGTGCGAGTGTGAAACCCCATTGCAACAGAATAAACATCACTCTTGAAAGATGAAACTCTCCGTTGAGAAACACCAAACCCACCCTTTCATCCTCACCCTTTCATCGCAGCAGAGGTTATGTTGACACATGGGTTAGAGAACTCCCTCGCTCCATGCCTCTGTCAACGTCTCTTCTCAGGATCTCTTTTAAAAATCCATTAAACAACAAAAAAAGAAACATCAGGAACCTAAAAAATACACAGACGTGCAATGAAAGACAGAAATCGAATTCTCAAAGGGGAACAGTGATTTGCTTAATGATTTGTTTATTGTTAGTTCTAGTTAACTCACAGTGCTATATCTAATGTGAACTATCATAACTTTGGATTTTAATAGTGGATGTGTAAATGTTGAACTAGGCAGCACAGTGGCTCAGTGGTTAGCACTGCTGCCTCACAGCAAAAAGTTTGGGAGTTTGCATGCGTGTTTGCATGGGTTTTCTCTGGGTGCTGCAGTTTCTCTCACAGTCCAGACATGTGCCATAGGTGAATTGGAGAAACTAAGTTGCCTGTAGTGTATGAGTACATGTGTGAATGTGAGTGTATGGGTGTTTCCCAATATTGGGTTGTGGCTGGAAGTGAATCCGCAGTGAAATACATATGTTGGATTAGTTGGCGGTTCATTACGCTGTGGTGACCCCTGAAAAATAAGGGACTAAGTCAAAGAAAATGAATGAATAAATTAAATGTTAAACTATGGTTATGGTAACTGCTGCACATTATTACCATAGTAAATATATTAATTAACATTAACTAATAAAACCTTAAAGCAGATTATATTGCGCCCCCTGGGGTGATTATATTATATTAGACACAGCGCATTGATTTTATGGCACCAGGTTAAACTTT